ATAGCACTCTGTGAACAGCCAGCTTCTTTGGCAATGAATGTTTGTGGGTTACCCTCCTTGTGAAGGGTGTCAATGATTGTCTTCTGGACAACTGTCTGATCAGCAGTCTTCCCCATGATTGTGTAGCTTAGTGAACCAAACTGAGAGACCATTTTGAAGACTCAGGAAACCTTTGCAGGTGTTTTGAGTTGATTAGCTGATTGGCATGTCACCATATTCTAATTTGTTGAGATAGTGAATTGGTGGGTTTTTGTTAAATGTGAGCCAAAATCATCACAATTAAAAGAACCAAAGACTTAAACTATTTCAGTCTGTGTGCATTGAATTTATTTAATACACGAGTTTCACAATTTGAGTTGAATTACTGAAATAAATGAACTTTTCCACGACATTCTAATTTATTGAGATGCACCTCTAGTTACTTTTTATGGAAAGTAATGCATTACGTTACTTTTGCATTACTTTTTCTCTTCTGGCTTGGCCTCATTTTTATCTATTCAGAGACAAAAATGAAAAAAGAAACACAAATGTTATATTTATCTAAAGTCATTTTTGCGTATTGGTATGGTTGATCACTGAAGGTCAGCAGCAAAGGTTACTGGTTAATAAAATGAAATTAAATACATAGAGGATATTTGTGTTATTTAACATGTTTGCGTCATGTCCTGAGTTTGCATTTGACTGTTTTTATTCATTTTGAGGAATACCAAATCTATTTTTGTGCAAGTGAGATGAGTAAATACATGTTGACATTTAGTCTAGAATGACAGTAACATCATGTTCACACAGCGCACACAACGCCTCTGTGCCTTCTCTCAACATGGGGACAGGAGAGCTGTCAGTCAGTACATTTGAAAACAAAGTAACTGGCGTTACTTATTTGAAAAAGTATAACTCAGATGTTTTCTTAACATTAAAAAGTAATGCATTACTTTACTAGTTTCTTGAAAAAAGTAATCTGATTACGTAACTCGCAGTCTTGTAATGCGTTACCCCCAACACTGTGTGTGTATACTGTATATATATATATATATATATATATATATATATATATAGTGTTTCCAATAGCATATTTCATAAAATAGCTTATTATATAAACAAATAAAAAACTGACACACACATCACATATATATTTTTTTTAAAACTGGTATATATAAGACTGCAACATTTAAATGTGTGATATATAACCTTTATATCAATGTGAGAACTTCAGTCTGACATTAATACCCTTTTCCTGAGAACACAGTTTAACCTTAAACCCTGACTAAAATCTAGCTTGATACCTTGGAAACTGAATTTTCGAACAGATTCATTGTGACAATGATTCAGTTTTTTTTTTATTTAAATTTGTTTTTTTGTTTTTTGGTGAATGTGCTTAATGCAAATGTTTTCTGTCTCTGATGTTGGTGATGCTGAAATCAATTTTGTATCAGCAGTCGGCAGGGTGATTCAATAATGTATTCAGTTCATTCTTTGATCTAAAATGTAATTTGACTTTGGACATGAGCTGTTTCAACATTGTCTCTTTACAAACATCCACCCACCTACATTCACACACACAGGCACACAGATACACACACACACACAGTTACAGCACATTTGTAAATTCATCAGATGCTATGTGTCTGTGTCTCTGAGGATGTACTGTGTGTTTTTGAGCCATATCAAATCAGACAACTAACAACATCTCCCCACACCACAGGATTGAAAAAACGCACCAGGAAGGCCTTCGGGATACGGAAGAAAGAAAAGGACACTGACTCTTCGTAAGTTTGACTAATTTATATACCAGAAATTTACCCCCAAAGCCTGATGTATCATATTTGATATGGCAATTTCTAAGGCCTCTAAAATATCAACATGATCAGAACCTGGCTGAAAAACCCGTTTTACACAGCCTTATGCCTTCTGACATCTTAATTGATAGTTTAAACTTTTTTAGCAAGTAAAATGCCTTTTAGTATAATTCTAAAATCGTCCCCCTTCAGGTCATAGTACATGTCTCTTTTTGCTATTTAGTCTTTACTGATTTTTATAAGGTAAAAGTAAGAATAACTTATATATTTTTAGTAATATTTAAAGATGAACATTTAGGCTTACTTGCTTATAAATTTTTTTTTTTAAATAATCATGTTAAAATGTAATCAAATATGATGCAGCAGGCTTTTAAAAAACATTTATTTGTACATCTCTTGTCATCATTGTATTGCATTGCATTATATTTTGTCCTCCTTAATAAAAAAACAGAAAAAAATATTTATATACAATTTATGCCAGTAATATTAACATAGATTTCATGGTCATTATAAACTATAAGAATTATATCTTACTTTTTGGCCTTAAAAATTTAAGTAATTGCACTAAATTACATATTTTGCTTAATGTGGGGCTCTGAATAAAACTGATGTGTTGTTTTTTTCTCCACAATTATGACCTCCATATTCTCTTATAGCATGCTATGTGAGCTGTAAAGGCTCAATGTATTGAATATGATGCTCAACAAAAGCTCATATGCAACCTTTTTTAAGATTTTATTTTTAGATTTTGTCTGAAGGTTCAATTAACTGTTCCATTACAAAAAATGAAAATGAAAGTTTGTTTGTCTATTATCTCATATGTCGGGCTTTACAGGATTAATGAATTTATAATAGTAGAGCTTCCTAAGGCAGGCCGATGGAGTTCTCTCACAAACCCATCAACAAAATGGAGCATTTGCTGCTTGCACACTATGAATCCCTGTCTCCTGCTGCGGGGTGCTATAGATGATGGCTGTTTTGAGTGTGTGTGTTTCTTTGGGGCCCAACACACAGGTGTTTCTGTCCCTCAGAGCGAAGCCATGCTAATTGCTTCTGTGCTTGAGTTGAGAAAAAAAGAGAGGCTTGCATGTTAAGTGGGTATTAAAGACCTCTCTGTCTCTCTCTTTGTCTCTTTCTTTTGTTTTCTCTGTTTTTAGGGGGTCACCAGACAGAGATGGTGGAGTAAGTACCTCTTAACTTGCAGAATTGTTTCAAGAGACAGATTTCCTATTATTTGTATTTTGTATTTTGGAATTTGAATTTATGTTTGTTTTATTTATGGCTGCCAAAGTTAATGATTAACATGCAATTAATCAAATGTTTAACAATGTGTTTATTCAGTTCACTCCTTTCTTTGTGATTTCTGAGAAATTATGTATTGAAATACTCTGAGCTAATTAGACACACACACACAAAAGACCCTAGCAGACCACCCAATTATCATTTATCACCCATTTGTAATGATGAAAGACATTTTGATGGGTAATTTATCTGTAAAATAAGCCCAAATGAGATTTAACAAAAGTTGAGTCATTTGCATTCTTTGAATGGTAAAAATTAATTATCATCGAAGACCAGTAAGTGAAATATTTACTCACAATGGTTTAGAAAAATTTCAATGCAAAACTGATCCCAAACATTTTGCTCTTGCATGTCACATTTTGTCACAGAATATAATGTGCATTTGATAGCATTTTTGCTTCCGACAGCCAAAACAAGAAGTCTTGTGTTATCCCAGGGGTCCTCAACTCTGGCCTCCGAGGTCCACTTTCCTGCAGAGTTTAGCTCCAACCCTAATCAAACACACATGAGCAAGCTAATCAAGGTCTTCAGGATTGCTAGAAAGTTACAAGCACGTGAGTTTGATCAAGGTTGGAGCTAAACTCTGCAAAAAAGTGTATCTCGAGGGCCAGAGTTGAGAACCTCTGTGTTATCCCTTAATCACCAGAAAAACTACCACAAAGACATGATTCCAAAAAGAAAATGCAAAGATAACCCAGATGGTTTCTGCTACATCTGTTGGGCATTTTACTACATCCAGTCAGCAACAGAAAATTACAGATTTTGTGGAGAAAAAAGCATATTTATTTATAAACTAATAATTTAAGAAAAATCTTGCGAAAGAACAAAGTTTTGTTTTGATATTTTGTTAACTCAGCATCATCAAATTAGGTAATGTTAGGCCTGTTTTGCAAATCAGTAAAATATTTTTAAAGATGCAGGGCTGTGTAATAAGTGGTAATGTAAACAAGTTTTTTTCATGTGAAGCCTTTTTGGAAATAATCTGACATGGTGAAAAAGTTTAATAATTCAAATGATGTTTTTATTTTCTGTATGATGGATGTCCGTGGCACAGGAGCCCCAAGAGACTGAATCGGTACTGAACATAGAGACAGCATAGTTATATAGCTTGAAGTCTAACGCTAGAACTAAATACTCACTAAGCACCTGTAGATTCCCCCAAGCGGCACCTCTAAATAGGCCAAACTCATCTAATTAGAAATCAGTGAATCTGAGTGATGTTACTAAAGTTGTGTTTTGATTTGCTCAGCCACAGAAAAAGACCAATGGGGCTCCAAATGGCTTCTACGGGGAGATTGATTGGGACAGATATGTAAGTACATCATTTTTAATACCCTGATGATACTCCGCAAAGCATGACAGCTCAAGCCTGCTGCATTAATGGCTGTTTGTATTTAAAAAAATACCATCCACTGCATCTGTAATACTGACTGACTTCAGTTCTTTTCTTTTGCAGAACTCGCCTGAGGTAGATGAAGAAGGATATAGCATCAGACCAGATGAGGATGAGGGAGATATCCTTTATTTTGCCATAGATTATTGTGATTACATTTTTGAATCTTTGATTTTATCAATAAGCAATGAAAATTGTATTATTTCATAATATTATTTCAAAATGAAGCTGTGATCCCTTAACAGCCCTCCACCAGCCCCCAAAGAAAAGTCTCACTTTTTCTCCTCCAGTGAGTCTGAAGAAGAGGAGGACCACCGCAAAAAGTTTAAGATCAAAATCAGACCGCTGCCAGCAGACCATAACATTGCAGCTCCCTCAGTGGATGAATTAAAAGCCTCCATTGGCAACATAGCTCTGTCTCCCTCGCCTCTGGTGAGTTCAGCCAATGTTTCCCATACATTTCAAGCTTATGATGTTGTTTCCTGTCACTTTTCTTACTTTAATATCACATGACTCAGTAGTCTCTGCTGTGTTATATATTTTGTACTTATTTTGACATCCCTTACAAAAAGATATTGTGAAAGTACCATGAGGCTTATATATAGTGCTGGGCGATAAAACAATAAATATTGTGATATAATTTTCCACGATAAAACGATAACATGAGTTCAATAAATGTTCGGTATAATGTTTATGCGCCAAAAAGCGTAACAAAACAGTGCTCACATTTTTACCATGGTATTGAGGTGCTATATGTGTGGTTTTAACCATGGTTATCATGATCTAAATGTATGCTACTATGAAAGACCAATGGTTAATTTTAATAAAACTCAAACAATCAGAATAATTAAATTTCACCATATAAAAATCAGGTTGTTACAATATTTACAGATTTTACTGTTTTTGATAATGAACATAAATGAACATTGCCAACTCAAGCTACTGTCAAATGTGCATTTCTAAGAGATTATATATATATATATATATATATATATATATATATATATATATATATATATATATATATATATATATATATATATATGTGTAATTATTAATATTGCAGCCTGCACTGCAAACTTTGTTGAAGATACACGTCATCAGGGTCAGGCAACACAAATCTGTTTTCATGATTTGAAACAATATCACTCATTAGAACATGAGATATTTATTTTACAAACTAAGAAATACATTTTTCTATTGAGATATTTATTTTAAGGAAAAATGACTGGAAAAGTGTAAAGAATTCAAAAACGTGAAGTGTTTGTAATGTTCTGACCATAAAGAGTAGTTTAAAACCACACTAAACAATCTGGTTTCTACAGTTATCACTTAAGAGTACAAATCTTATTTGTACTAATTTTATCGTGATAATTTTTTTGGCCATATCACTCAGACCTTCTTATATATTATATGTAGATATATAGTATTCCATGGTACTTCTACAGTGAATGTATACTTTTATTTTTTGCTGTCATGCTGTGAGTAAGACTATTGGGTCAAGATCACGCCTGCCCTTTCTGATTCATATTGACTGTAACTCTCAGTGCATGTTTGAGAGGCAATTTATGGACACTTTCTGTTTGTCAGTAAGGAGAGGAAATAGCTTGTTGCACTGTTGCAGATTTTATTTGTACTGTATAAGAAAGCTCATGAAATGGAGGAAGTGCTTTAGGTTCTTTATTAACCTTGTCAACTCAATTTTATAGTCACATAATGACAAAAGCCACAAGCCAGACTTGGCTTACAGTACAAATGGCTTGTTTTTTGTGGAGTGTTGCATGTAGATGTCTAGTTAATGTGAGGCTTTCACACTGTGGAGGCTGTTTCTAGAGAGAGCAGCGTGAGCAGTTCAGATGGAGCTGCCTGCCATTTTAGTAGTCCAAAAACACCTACCTGCCATTTCACTAAAAACATTTTTGAGTTTCAGCAGTCTATATGACTGCATCCTATTAGTTAAAGCTGTTTTAATGAGCTTTAAATTAATTTTTAGGATGTACCTTGAACAAGAACGTCTTTGTAGGTGTGCCATATATACTGCATTTAGGAGATGAATATGTCTGTGTGGTCAAACCATGTCTAAACATTCTCCACTGGATCAAAACAGACTCCTTTAACAAAACAATATTATTCATATTTTTATTTTATTAAACAAGGAAGCATTATATTTGGCCAAAAGGGGCAGTAAAACGATTTTACAAGATATTTTTATTTCAAAATAAATGCTGTTCTTTTGACATTTCTGTTCATTAAGGAATTCACAACATTCACAATGAATCCACAAAAATATTAAGCAGCACAACTGCTTTCAACATTGATAATAATAATAATAAATGTTTTTCGAGCACCAAATCTGCATATGAGAATGATTTCTGTAGGATCATGTGATGCTGAAGATGATTAACAGCTCCTGAAAATTCAGGTTTGCCATCACAAGAATAAACTACTTTTATTAATTTAAAAAAATGTGACCCTGGAGCACAAAACCAGTCAGCACGGGTATATCTGTAGCAATAGCCAAAAATACATTGTATGGGTAAAAATTATAGATTTTTCTTTTATGCCAAAAATCAATAGGATATTAAGTAAAGATCATGTTCCATGAAGATATTTTGTAAATTTCCTACCTTAAATATATCAAACCTTAATTTTTGATTAGTAATATGCATTGCTAAGAACTTCATTTGGAAAACTTTAAAGACAATATTTTGATTTGTTTGCACCCTCAGATTCCAGATCTTCAAATAGTCGTATCTCTACCAAATATTGTCCTATCCTAACAAACCATACATCAATGGAAAAGTTATTTATCCAGCTTTCAGATGATGTATAAATCTCCATTTGGAAAAATTGACCCTTATGACTGGTTTTGTGGTTCAGGGTCACATACATTAAAATAGAAAACAGCTAAATTTAAATTGCAAGAATATTTCACATTTTCACTGTATTAAATAATTGCAGCCTTGGTAAGCATAAAAGACTTGTCTTAAAAAACATTACAAAATGTTACCAACCCCAAACTTTTGAACAGTAGTGTGTGGTAGTACAATGATACTTTTGGTACTCCTAAGCATCCATCAGATTTTACTGTAAAATTTTAATATTCATTAACTCACGAGAGAGAGTATCCTGAGAACATCTCGTTCATATGGTGTGTGCGGTTAAAGAAGATGTTCAAACTGAAGTACTGACTTTTAACAACTTTTTGCCAGTGAAGTCATCTGAATTTTTTATTACGGAGGTCATTCAGATGAGATATGGTATAGATGAGTCTTATCTGACTCACTATTGTTATCTGGAGTCAGAGTGAGTAGGAGTTTCAGGTGGAGGCTCGCACTGGAGTGTCACTCCGTTCTCTCTCAATAATTCAGCTTGGAAACTGGGCACAATGACTCCACTGCATGGAGCAGCAGGCCTACTGACAGAGCACAGGCCGCCAGGCCAGAGGATGCCACATGATGAACTTGCACACTAAATTATTCACGCACACAGATACATGTAATTCCGTCAGTGTGCTTTCAAACCCTTTTTTGTGTCTTATCAATCTTACTCTGATCTACAACTCTACAACCACCTACTGGGTTGTTTCTTTTTCTGCTTTGTTCCTAAAATTAATTGGCACTCAGATTGGTCTTTAGCTATCACAAAGTAATTATCTTTTCTGGGGTTTTCATTAGCTCTTATTCCCAAAGTTAAATTTGAATCTGCACGTTTATGAATTGCTCTCTCAGTATGTTCAGTGAATGCTAAACCACTTCGAACTTTGAGCACTTTTACCCCTGTAACAGTGTAGTTTATTTAGCTATAGCTAGCTTTATTAACTGATTGCTTACTGATTGCATTGTGCCTGTTGTGGAATGTGTAGTATTAAATAGTTCCAGTCCTGGCTTCTTAAATCCATGATAAAGTAACAGTTATGAGCTGATACTCCCTCCATGGATCGTTATTCTTTTTATTTTTGATTCATTAATTTTTTATATAACAGTGTTGTGTTAACTAATAGGCCAAATTCACATGAATTGGTATATAACTGTAGTGTGTGCATATATATATATATATGTGTGTGTGTGTGTGTGTGTGTGTGTGTGTATACTCGAATTACTTTGGACCACCTTTAGCTTTGATAATGGTAAAAAAATTAACACTGAAAATAGGGGATACGTCTTCCGACATGTTTGAGAAATAAAAACACACTGCATTCATTACGGTTAAAAGAATTGTTGCCAAAAAAACAACATGCCAGAAGCATATTAATCACTGCAATAATGATCCAGTTCTAGACTCATAAAGGGGTCATATGATGCGATTTCAAGTTTTCCTTTCTCTTTGGAGTGTTACAAGTGAGCACTTTTACCCCTGTAACAGTGTAGTTTATTTAGCTATAGCTAGCTTTATTAACTGATTGCTTACTGATTGCATTGTGCCTGTTGTGGAATGTGTAGTATTAAATAGTTCCAGTCCTGGCTTCTTAAATCCATGATAAAGTAACAGTTATGAGCTGATACTCCCTCCATGGATCGTTATTCTTTTTATTTTTGATTCATTAATTTTTTATATAACAGTGTTGTGTTAACTAATAGGCCAAATTCACATGAATTGGTATATAACTGTAGTGTGTGCATATATATATATATATATGTGTGTGTGTGTGTGTGTGTGTGTACTCGAATTACTTTGGACCACCTTTAGCTTTGATTATGGTAAAAAAATTAACACAGAAAATAGGGGATACGTCTTCCGACATGTTTGAGAAATAAAAACACACTGCATTCATTACGGTTAAAAGAATTGTTGCCAAAAAACAACATGCCAGAAGCATATTAATCACTGCAATAATGATCCAGTTCTAGACTCATAAAGGGGTCATATGATGCGATTTCAAGTTTTCCTTTCAGTGTTACAAGCTGATTGTGCATAGATAAGATCCCTGAAGTTGCAAAGACTAAAGTCTCAAAGTTAAGACTCTGCCACACCCCCCTAAAACGGCTCGTTCTAACACGCCCCCACATATCTACCTCACTATGTGTGGAAAAATGGCATGCTTTAAGCAGTCTTATTTTGACTGAAATCCACTTTGTCCAGTATATTGGAAAGCCTGGCATTCCTTCCTCATGAATTAAACATTAGTCACATGCCCATCCTGTGCCATGGCAACCTGTGCGTATGTGTGTAACCATGGTGATGTATTAGCCATGAATACTCATCAGAAGAAAGTATGAGCAAAGGTTAAACAACAGAAATAGAGAGCTCTCTCCTTCTATCAGAGTTGTGTGATAATTCGTTCAGCTTGTTGTATTCTCTACTGTACTTCACCTGTGTAGTCAGAGAAGAGATATTGCATCCAGCCAGCCATCCAGAGCGCAGGGAGAGATAAATGTAACGGTGGAGTTATAGTCGAGTGAAAACAAAGGCATGGGGGTTCTTTATATAGCACACCTTTCGGCCAGGTGCTGGGTTCCAGCTGGTATTCATGTTTTATTGATAAGGTTTGCTTCTTTATTAAGCCCCTTGTATATGGGCAGTCATCCAACAAAAGTTAATAATGCTACACATGGGAAACACTGTGTGGTCAGAGTTTGATCATTCAACTTTAATTCCAAGCTGTGTGACAGAATGTAGACATGTAGCAAGCTGGAGGGATTTTTAAAAGAGAGAATTCAACCCAAACTAACAAAAAAATGCTCACCATAATCTTGTTCCAAACCCTTTTTATTAAATCCATGGGTATAAATATTTTACATTGTCCAACCTTTTCATAATGGAGACTAGAGCTGTGAAGCTCCAAAAATTATTTCAAAACACCATAAAGCCATAAGGCTTGTATGCTGCATTATAAGTTTTCTGAAGCCGTGCATTCATTTTGTATGAGGGGAAAACACTAAAATATTCAATAATTAAAACATTTCTCCCTTTGCAGTAGCTTTCAAGTGTCATTCAGTTCAAATATGATGCATTATTATGCCTCATTCCTGCTTGCGGTGTTCGGCCAATCACAATGCACTGGGTCAGCTGGCCAATCAGAGCAGACTGCGCTTGTCGGAAGGAGGGACTTTGTAGAAAACGGAGCGTTTGAGAGAGGCGGGGCATAGAGGACCTACAATAATGTACAGTATTTGAAAAATAATGTGTTTTTTGAACATTAAAGCATGTCAACATATTCTGTTACACCAAATACGCAAATCACGCAGTCACATGCCCATCCTGTGCCATGGCAACCTGTGCGTATGTGTGTAACCATGGTGATGTATTAGCCATGAATACTCATCAGAAGAAAGTATGAGCAAAGGTTGAACAACAGAAATAGAGAGCTCTCTCCTTCTATCAGAGTTGTGTGATAATTCGTTCAGCTTGTTGTATTCTCTACTGTACTTCACCTGTGTAGTCAGAGAAGAGATATTGCAGTCTGAATGTATTTTAAAAAAGGATTTAAAAAAGAATTAACTATAATAAATTATCAGTAATTTACTGCCATTGTGTGAATAACATGTAATCAATATTAAAGTAACTGTAACCTGATTAGTAGTATTTTAAAACGTAATATAATCTAATTACAAGTACTTAATTTCTGGAATCTGATTATGAAATCCAGATTACAATTAAATTACTACCCAGTATTGTACAGTATATTAAAGTGTGCTTATATGTGCTTGGATCCTGTGCTTGTACATTAGTTTTTTTAGGTGAACAATGAATTTTGATTATGTTCTTTTGCATCTGGTGTTTATGCAGTTTTACTTCAAAAATTTTGAACTGTTTATTATTTGAATTAATTGGCAGCCTTAGTCATCAGCCCAACTCTTACATTAAAGTGTTTGGTTGCATGCCAGTCTTTCGGCTTGTCTACTCTTGGCTCTGATTGGTGGTGACCATTGCATACAGCCTATAGGATTAGACTGCCACTGGTACATCACCCTAATCACTCAGAGCTCTTGAGCCATACTGAACTCAGACCCTCGTTCCTGAACTTATTCCTATGCTATGAAGAAAGGAGGACTAGGAAAAAAAAGAAATAAGAGGTTAAATTGGAATATATTAACTGCAGGGGGTTTGTAAATTGATGACAAGCTAGTAATAAATCAAATCATAAATATGTATAATTAAATATAGTAAAATAAATCATAATAAAGTCTGAATGTATTTTAAAAAAGGATTTAAAAAAGAATTAACTATAATAAATTATCAATAATTTACTGCCATTGTGTGAATAACATGTAATCAATATTAAAGTAACTGTAACCTGATTAGTAGTATTTTAAAACGTAATATAATCTAATTACAAGTACTTAATTTCTGGAATCTGATTATGAAATCCAGATTACAATTAAATTACTACCCAGTACTGTACAGTATATTAAAGTGTGCTTATATGTACTTGGATCCTGTGCTTGTACATTAGTTTTTTTTAGGTGAACAATGAATTTTGATTGTTCTTTTGCATCTGGTGTTTATGCAGCTTTACTTCAAAAATTTTGAACTGTTTATTATTTGAATTAATTGGCAGCCTTAGTCATCAGCCCAACTCTTACATTAAAGTGTTTGGTTGCATGCCAGTCTTTCGGCTTGTCTACTCTTGGCTCTGATTGGTGGTGACCATTGCTTACAGCCTATAGGATTAGACTGCCACTGGTACATCACCCTAATCACTCAGAGCTCTTGAGCCATACTGAACTCAGACCCTCGTTCCTGAACTTATTCCTATGCTATGAAGAAAGGAGGACTAGGAAAAAAAAGAAATAAGAGGTTAAATTGGAGTGAGCAAGAATGTATGTCCATAGAAAATTAACTTTTTATGTAATTTCATTTCCATTCTGATTGTGAATTTGGTGCAGAGGTGTCATGACCACAATTTTTTCATTTGACGTATCTTTGCAATCTCTCCGTAGTGACTCATGAGCAGTACATACTTTCTATGCTTTTAGATCCTCTGAAGACTAAACAGTGCTGAGACAAGCAGCACTGCACAGGTGCAACGTTGGCAATATATGCATAAATCCCATTTTTAAAGGGGTGGTTCATTGTGATTTCAGTTTTTTAACGTTAGTGTGTAATGTTGCTGTTTATCTGCAAAGTTACGAAGCTGAAAGTTCAATGCAAACGGAGATATCGTCCTTTAAAATTCTGGCAGTTTAATGCCAACAAAAACGGCTGGTAGGGACTACAAGAAGTTACTTCCCGGGTTCGTGACATCACAAACCCTGATAAACCCCGCCCTCGGGAAAAGGCAGCAAAGGGGGCGAGGCCATGCTGCGCTGCTTTAGAGAAGACGAAGAGAAAACTAGGGGTGCACAGAAAAATCTATTCATATATGAATCACGATTCTGTCTTCTAACAATTCTAATGGATTCACAAGTTTCAAAATCAATGTTCTAAAGCAGCAGTTCTCAGTACTGTTCCTCGCATTCCCCTGCTCTACACACACTCTGCATCTCTCCCTCTCTCCCTCTCCCTCTCTCTCTCTCTCTCTC